AAACCAGGAGAACAGCTGTGCATATTTACGACAGTGCACTTTTACTTTCGCCCTCTGGGGGGAGCCCCGCTGGAAAATCAACACCGGTTGCATAGTGTACCTTTAAGGACCTAAAAGTGTTCTTACACCTCCAAACAGGAAAATATTTTTATACCTACTATAGATTAACTTTAACCTAAGTGGGGTTTAAGGTTTGATTTTACTATAACTTTTGTTTTTTGCTCAAACAAGTCCCATTGGTTATCTCAAACATATCCGTCTGTCCAACAAAGCAATTAGACGCGATTGTATTTTATCTCCATTCAATTTCGGTTTATTAAAAATCCAATTTTCAATATAGTTGAAACAAAGTTTGTAGTTTTCAATGAAAAAAAATACTGGTGCTAATAAAAAATGTTAAAACAAAAATGTTTAATACTGAAGCAAGGCCACCAGTATTTATTTAGTATATAAACAACGGTTTTTATACTGGGATTTAAAAGGGTCTCGTTGATTTTAAACGGTGCTTCATGGATAAAGTTGTGTTGTGATAGCCAAACTACAAATGCTGACATTATTAACATTACTTTGAGACTCATTTGGGTTTAGATAGACCTCTGTTAAATATTCCCCTCAATGGTTAAACGCAGCTTTAAAGATCTAAATAATTGTGTGAGCTAGCAGAATTTATCCAGCAGGCAATTTTGCCGTTCAAGCCCCCTTTGTGCAGAGAAGCTTTACAGATTTAAGAAGGTTGTCAGTTAAAGGATGCTTTGTACAAGCTAAGCACTGGCGACCAGCACAGCTAAATCTTCAGAGGGGAGTGTTTACAAAGTATGACAAAACAACCGGAGCAACCATTTGAATTTCATTTGCTTGTAGGAAAATAAAGCGTGGTGGCTCTGTTAACGAGCCTTTTGTTGCAAAGCTAAATAAACGCACACGCTCAAAGTCATGCAGCCTAGAATTACAGTAGTAGCCATTCAAAATTTACCCACATTCCTTAATGGGCTCTTGGCTGGTCCCAATTCCTTTTGAAACATCAATATTCGTACTAAAATATTCTGTCATGATTTCTGGACATTAACATCTAAACGTCTCCGGGTCAGACCCTGTAATTCACTGAAAGGTTAGAGTCAGTAAAAAAAATATGCAAGACTGGTTCACTCCAGTTGCAGGAAGTTGGAGGGGATTTCGCTGGGAGCTGTAGGGAAAGAGGCTGCCAATCAGCTGGTGTTTGACTGAGAAGGACCATTTTGAATGGCTGCTACTGTAAAACTTGAATGGAAAAAAAATTTATAAAATGATGCATGTTGCTGCAGTCTTACAATTACAGACTGGCACCACTTGTATCACTAACCTGGAAGTTTCACCCTCTTGTCTGGGTCGCCAATCGTCCAGATATACACCATCATGTCCATCCCACCAGTAGCAAAGTGCTCATTATCAGGGGACCAGGCCAGACTCACTGGTTTGGCATGATGTCCGTAGAACTCGTTTTTTACCTGGGGGAAAGGAGACCCCAAGAAAGCATTGTAATATAATTTCACTCAGTAAATGAGCAACTAAGCTTGGCAGGGGAAGGCCAGTCTCACCGAGTATCCATCAGCCACAGAGAAAGCTGTAGCAACCTTCTTGTCATCAATGACAGCCAGATATGCTCCGTCACTGGAGTAAGCCATGTCGGTGATGGACCCTTTAGCCTCAAGGGTTTTACCCTCATCCTTCAGAGTGTTGCTCTGAATGGAGTAAAGGTGGACTTTTCCATCCTGAGGACCCATGGCAAACAGAAGATTAAAGAAAAATGACAAGCATGCTAAACACAATTAGGTTCACAGATCAAAAGTGTTCTGAAAACGGCAAAAAGCTTCTGTTACACGTTTCCACTTACATTTCCACCGACAGCAGCAGTGGTGCCACCAGGATGGATGACCCCAACCTCTGCTTCATAGCCAAGATTGTCCAATGTGAAGACTTTCTTCTTATCCTTTAGTAAGACAAGCTAAAGGGGAAAAAAATATGAAATAATAATGAAATGCAACAGCTTATACATAGTACAGGTGAAGAACATAACCAGAAGACATTACCTGACCGATGCATACAGCCAGAGTGAAACCTCCTGATGCAGAGATGCTTTTAGGCTGAGAGTCCATCTTCACCACATCAGATGCACTGCAAAACCAGCAGATAGAGCCGTTACTGAAGAAAACCAACTCCAGCACTTAGGATTTTTTGCTACAGCATGAACACAAGCCAAATAAGAGGATTTTTTTTTTTATTTATTTAACTGCACGCTACCATTTTCACATTTGGTATCCATACTGTTCTAGAACCTAAAGCAGGATAGAGCTTAAAGCATCCCATACCTGTACTCTTTCTTGCTGAGGTTTGTGTAGCGCAGTGTGTCATCCATGCTGCATGTCACCAGTTCATTGGAGTCATCCGCCTGCATCTTGCTCACCTGGTTACTGTGGCCTTTCCCTGAGAAACAGCCATTCTCACCGGTTTCTGCATCCCAGTAATGTGAGGCCGGTGTTAAAGGAAACAGCATTACCATACACCTATAACTATGATATCTGACACTTTTTATTTATTTTATTTTTTAAGTCAACAGGCACCCTTCCATACACAAACCGAATCTCTGGCAACAGAAAATATCTATTTAAAGAGTAACCATTACTAAAATCCAGATCACAACTTCTAGCAACGAAAGACAAGTTAGTTTTAAAAGCAATATCCAACCGAGTGTAAAAGTTTAATTTGAATCAAAGTCTCCTCAAAGCAATTTAATAACTTTGGGGCATTTTGTAGATCCAGCTCAGTCTCACAGCACACTTTCATAATATCAGCAGATTCTAATTAGTAATTTATGAAATAAACCACAAAAGAGACAAGATTAAGAACAGGACTTGAGCAGTAGATGGAAATTAAATACAGAAGTAAAGAGAAGAATAATGTGTGGTGGGATCGATATAAATAGGCCTGAGCCGGTCTGAAAGGACAGCGTTGCATTAAAGCTATGAGATCATATTAAGGGACCAGCAGGGAAAAACCCCCAGTGAAACAGCAAATGTCTTTAAATTCAAATCCAAGCTCAATAAAAGACTTTTTTTTTTCCCCAGAGCGACCACCACCTTAAATTAGGGCTGAAACAGTCAGATTAACCGTCAATTAATTTAGTAATAGATTATTTGTTAAATGGAGTATAGAGACTGTAAAATATGCCTTTGGCTGACAAATAGATTGACAGCAGCTCTTATTTAGGGAGAGAAAGAAGTTACATGCTAATATATGTACATGTGTCAGTGTTGCCTCCTGCCTTACAGTAGGAGCCTTTTAGGATGGTCTTATTACAAACCTCAGCCAGAACTACATCTTAATGCTGCCAGCAAATTACTTAAAACTACAAGTGAATATTTAAAATAGCAAAGTTTGATTTTAGACCTCCATCAAAGCTAATTTGATTTTTTTTTTATAAATGCACCCAGAACAGAGCGAAATCTGAAAACAATCTTTGTTCTAGAAGGTCACCTTTACATTAATGGAAGGATATTGATATGTCCATCATGACTCCCAGAGTAGATGTATGATCGACCATCAGCTTTATGAACCGTCAGACACTGGATGGACTTTGTGTGACCCTGAAAAACAGAGATACTTTTAGAAAATACACATTTCAATACATTAGGAAAAAAAAAACTTAACCCTGAAAGGCTGTTCCAGGGTTGATGGCATTACATTTCCCTAAAAGCAATGTGCTTAATTCAGACTTGTGTGTATTTTATGCTACTGCTGTCTGGATGACCTTGCTAAAGTCATCAAGTTTTAAAGTTTAGCATTTTAATGAAAATATTACATTTTTAACCCTTTTACTAGAGTTAAAAAGCTTAGATTAAGTCATCCATTAAAAGACACCTTAAACCTGGCGACGTTTGCTACCTGCTTCTCTACAGGAGCTCATTATCTAGACATGGCATCCATGAATTCTTTTTTCTGACCTTGACTGTGCGTATGGGTCGGTCAGGGTTGTTCTTATCCAGGTAGTTGATGTACCCTGAGAGAGAGATGCTGAGGAGGTGGTCCTTCTGCCACAGGCAGCCCAGCTGCTGGTCACTCACATCAGAGCCCATATTGAAGGTGGTGACAGCCGTACCTGCGCCTACATCCCAAAGCTTCACGGTCTTATCCCCGGAGGCAGAGATCAGCTGGGAGCTGTCAGGGCTCCAGCTCACCTGCATGACATTAAGCAGAAATTGTTTTTTGTTTTTTTTTAAAGTAAACAAAATAAATCAATAGTCATTAGGACAACTTGATTGTATCCACTGGAAGAAAAATGCACCGACATTCATTTAAAAGGGATGGTTTCAGGAAACCTGATCCATGATTTGACTAAGAAATTAGACTTTGTTTTTCTGCTTTCAGAAGCCTATTAAGATCAGGTCTGACAAACAATACCTTTACTTCTACACAAATTAATACAGATCAGGTTACAGGCTTAAGGTAAGGAAATAATGTCCGTTTTGTGTTGCCACAGCCTTTTGTTTGGGGATCAAAGTACTTACAGCATATATTCCTCCTTTGTGAGCCTTCTCTCCGCCCACCGATCCAATACGTTCACCAGTTGTTCCATCATAGATGAAAATCTGCAGGTCATCAAGAAGCCAAACCATCAATTTGAACCTAATTAAAGTTATTCTACTGGGAAAAACAAAAACACCGTCTACATCAGACATCTTATTTTTTTAACAGCTAACCAATTTACTATCACTAGCAAATCCTGATTACAGATATTTTCCAATGGCTACATGCAGTCTTTCTAACATGATTTAATGCCATGCTTTTATCAAAATCATGCCTAAAGTGGACTTTTTCTAAATTCAGACATGTGTGCCTAACTCTACTAAACACTCTCTGAGCAGCAGCAACTCAGCATCCTGGAAAAAGAGCAGCCATGACAGGTGTACACAGAGCAATGATTACCTATCTATCTATCCATGAAGTACCGACCTAAACCATGATGAGCCTGTATAGTAAAACAGGCCAGTAAGCGCTGATATGAGGCAAAGTACAATGATTTGCTCAAAGTTTCAGCTCTTTTTTTTTTTTTTTTTCCTTCAGCCAATTTTCAAATTTTTTTTTTTTCCCGCAGAGATTTGGACTTTGTTTAGCCTGCGTAAAGAACAGCAATCGTCAGAAATGGCGTGATACGACAATGTGATGAAAAGAATAGCAATCAGTTGAGTTAAGTTGGTATTCATTTAAGGCACCCATCTTTCAGGTTAAAAAAAAAGCGTCACATGGGAGGTGCCCCATCACAAGACTGCTTAGCCAATCCACGTAGAAACAGAAAGTTGCTTTATAAATGACGACCGTTGTCCTCCTGAGGTCGGTTTATACTGAAACTAAAGCAAAACTTCTGTTTTGCTCGAGTCACTTAAAGATGCAACCACTTCTTTATAACTAAAAAAAAAAACCACTAACTTCCTTCCTCAGTTTTATATTAAGGAAATATTTTCTTTCACCAACTTTTCATTTCCTTAAAAGAGCCTATATGATGCAAGATCAACTTGGAGATTTTAAGCATGTCATAATATTATTCCCTTATTATTCAGCTCAACTTATGAATGTCTGAGTAATCCTTATGAATTGTCCTCCAACTTGCCACACAAGTCAGTTTTCCAAAAGCAGTCAAATCGAGAGAAGCAGCATGAAAATATGCTGCAGTAGCATGATTGAGATGTCAGTTCAAATAAAATAAAATCTTGCAGGGAATACATGTTATAGAGAAGTGTACACAAGCCTGCTTTATTAGATTTCTAGAGTTTTATTTCAGGTTAGAGCGACTCCAACACTTTGCCTGAAGCGTTTATGCTTCAAATAGTAAAAAGAAAAAAAGAAAAAAGCTTTATACTTAATTTTTTTTTTTCTACAATCCATTGCTTTATTAGTTGCATGTAATTACTCGCCCACAAAGTGCATTTTACAACCAACCTGGCCATCAGCTCCAGCTGTAACTAATCGACTTCCATCTGGAGAAAAACGAATGCAGTTGACAAACTGGCTGTGGTCCTGCAGCAGTCAGAGGGAAGAAAAGAACCATCATTACTGAAACAGCAACTTTCACAGTTAAATGCACTAAAACAGAGCACAGCCTGTAAAGAAATTAGTTGGGTGAGTTTTCACCTTTTCTTTCCAAAAGCACACTAAATATAACTGGGAAGCGTTTTGACCTAAACAGGCTAAAATTGGATCAGGTTTTTAGCTAGCAATGCGTACAGGTATACATTGTACACCCTTTAAAAAGATTTTTTTTATTTATTTATTTTTTTATTACACGCCCCATTTTTGGGATGTACGGCTGTGGCACGCCCTAATTTTCCCCCGGAATATAGTGGACAACTTCATACGAGGGAACAAACACGCTGCGTTGTTTGCAAGCAGATAAGCTTGAAACTTTGTAGATGTTCATGTACATACATGAAAATTTAACCACCAAGTTTCATTGTCAGCTGTATTCTTAACAGAGTAGATGCACAGAAATAAAAGCAGTCCTGGCTGCACTCTCCCCTATGTTGGTTTGCAGATTGTGTTGTGGTATTTGTAGACTGCTTTTCGTTTAAGTCACACTTTCTGATCGGTTGAATTAACCTATGAAATACAATATTGTACCTAAAAACTATCTCATGACTTCCTAGTCAAGCAGACATACTTCCCATAATCAGGAAAAAAATATTTTTATAACAAAGACAAAGTTAGCTGCATTCCACCTCAAAATGCAGGAAATTGTGTTGCAGAGGGTATACATTTTAAAACTTTCCAGGGGGTAACATTTTAGGGATCCCCCTACAATTCTCACACAGCTATGCCAAGCAAAACAAAGATGTGATACACTAAGGTGTACACCCTGTGAAATATTCCTAGCTAAAAGCCTGGTCTTTAGGATATCTTAAACTCAAAGGTAAATCTTTACATTGTCTAGAGCAGAGTTTGTCAAAGTGGGAGCCTTTGTCTATATAAAAAACAAATGCAATAGGATTTTGTAACACTAACAACTTTAACCATTTAAATAAGGCATTTTTGTTAATTTTAAAAACTAATAAACAAAATTTTCTGACATGACTCAACTTCTGCTCCAAATATAAAGCGGATCGTGAGAGGATTCACAGCATTTTCTGCACAGTTAAATTACAGCCATTTTCCAAATGCTTTAAACCAATCCCTTTCCTTACAATTCCACACACAAGAGGCTGTAGAAAACCTTTTGAAATTCTTGCAAGAATAAAATATTTAATCAACTATGATGACAGCAGCAAGCAGCATAGAAACATGCCACTAATAATCAGGGACATTAGAATAATGTTTTCTTCCTTACAAAAAGCGGAAAGTCTGCTCTTCCCCATTTTAGACCATTCTAGCAGCTGAAAAATTAGCCTTCTTCAAAACAGTAAACTGAGGTCATTGTGAAACTACTGCTGAGAACGACCACCCTTATCAAAAGTAGTTTCCTGTGGCCAGTTGTTAGAGAGATAAGAAAAATATAGGGAGGAACCCGACATGAATACAAATTGCCCGCACAATTGGAAGTAAATACAGTTTCAAGGTAATTTTTGAACATTTGAGAACAAAAAAAAATAATTAGATTGTCAAAATGAGACGGGGAAACTATTCTAAGAACACACACCCATTTAAAAATAAAAATTAGGCTTGTATTTATGAACTTGGCTCACATTTTCCAAGCGGTGTGGGATGGAGGTTATATAACATGGACTCAGTGAAACAAGGCAACACTGTTAAAACCCACCCGCGGTGGGACAGCTCTAACATGACTAAGGCCTACTAAGAAGCAAGCGGCTTAAATGTCACTGAAAGAATTAAGTGAAAAGGTAACAGTGTTCCAAGGGAAGGATGTCAGTCAAACATGAGCAGATCTCTAGCTTACTCTAATGTCAAAAAACAAAAGAGTGCTTTAAGTAGAATTAATTCTGTACAGGAAAAACGTAGATGCTGAGGCTTTAACCCCCCCCCCCAAAAAAAAAAAAACAAGACCCTTACCCTTAGTGTGAATTTGAACTTGAAGGGAGGTCCCTCAAAGAAGGAGCCGCAGGTGTCATCGCTGGCAGTAGCAAGGCGGTAGGGGCGTTTCTGTCTTATGTCCACACTGTTGATCAATTTTGCATGGCCAGAAATCTCTCCCACTGATGAGCCAGAATCCCACAAGAACACTGAACCAAACCTAAAACAACAGACATGCATTCAGCTGTTCCAGTTGTAGATGGGGAACAAAGAGCTTTCTGTCTAGATTTGCAGGGATGGTTCTCATTTTTATACAACAGAATAGTGAACATTTGGGATATCCTTAACCAAGTTTAATTAAATGAGTCTTCGAATATAGGAAGGAAACTCTTACTTCTCTCGCCCATCACCAACAACTGCAATCCTCTTGCTGTCCTCTGTCCATGCAATGTCCTTGACTTTCCCTGAAATGGGGGTATACTCATACTTGAGCATGTGTTCCTTCTGGGTGGTGTCCCAGATACGGATCTTCCCTGCTACATCTGTAAGGCCAGAAAGCATCATTGTAAAAAACAACAACAATAAAAAACTGGCCTAAATGATAAGTATTTAACAGGGCTCTGACCTCCAGATGCAATGTAGAACCCACTGGGAGCATACTTGGCAACAGTAACTTGATGAGCATGCTCGGTATAAATGTCTGCAATCGCTGGATTCTAGAAAAGACAAACGTAAAACATCAGGTTGTTAAATACATAGCTGCACTGAAAACACTTATTAACAGGGATCAATCTAACTTGCTTAAAAGAATGAAAACTAAGATAACAGTTTAACCTCCTGTAATAAATGGTTTGGCAAAGCACAGAGGAAAAACACAAGATTACATTTGCTGTTATGTTCAATACATATTGGGATCACTCTCAGGTTTTTCAGAGCCAACCGTTATTACATAGGCAGGATGTTAGAGCACAATGCAACATCTTATTCTAAAACAAAACAGACCTAAAAAAAAAAAAACAACAACAAAAACACCATGCACTTATATTTTCAATGAATATTATTATAAGTAAAGATAATTACCAAAAACCCACAAGTATACAAACATTGAAGATTACCTCAACATTTCTTATGATGACACATTTGCCGTTGGTGTACAGGAAGTTGTTTCCTTTGGGATCGCCACCAATTACCTTCGCAACTCCCCTCTCCATCTGGGGGAGGCTGGCAAACACACTCTCTGGAGAAAAAAAAAAGGAAACAAGACGTTAACAAGAGTCAAAGCTGATGAGACCTTACTGGACCCACAAGATACTGGTTTTTGATCCACTGTGACAAGGCATGAGGTGACTAGAAAGGCAAAAACATCCTCTTTTCTGATCTCCATTGTATCATTCGGAACATACCCTGACTCTGGAAAATCCTGCACTTTGAAAGGCTGGAAGCTTTTTTTGGAAAACATGTAGCTTAGGTAAAGAGCTGCTTTCTCAAGGGAGTACATGTAAAAGGTTATGTCTTACCACCAATGCAAGAGGCTAAAAAGCCTAGGTGTCATCATTTGTAATACATTAGGAAAATCTTGATGCACAAAAAAAGCCAAACTTTACAAGGAATAACTTGCAAGTGAAAACTTAAATGAATATTTAGCAACATGGTTCAGCTAAAGTTAAGATTAGTCTTCTTTACATCGCCCATGGGCAAAGCACTTAATCCCTAATTCCTAAGAATTATGTTTGAGTGTGTTCGATTGGATCCATGGGAAGTGTGTAGTGCACTAGAAAAGTCCTTTATAAATTGAATTTAAAGCTCTGGATATAATTGAGAGAAAAAGCTAGTCTTGTTTATTGGACACTGGATTCACATTCACTTTAACTACCATACTTATATTCATTATAGTGGTGATCCAATATAAATCCATTCTAAAAAGGAAAGTGAATTTAATGAAGCATAAACATAAAAAGTACCTTTGTGATTTATTACAATATGTGCAGATTAGGAAACAGACTTGACCAGGGTTCCTCCTCAATCCCAATCCTTGTGGTCTGGTGTCCTGCAGCTTTTAGATGCGCTTCTGCTTCCACACACCTTAATCAATTTGTTGAATTGGCTCCTCTGTATTCAGCCAGGTTCTCCAGACTCTTGCTGTTGACCTGATTATTTGACCCAAGTGTGTTAAAGCAGAGGCACATCTAAAAGGAGCAGGACACCAGCCCCTGATTAACCCTGGACTGACAGTTTAATATGCAAAACAGTCAACTTTCAATGCAAGAATCACAACAGTGAAAACAACTTTCTTTGTCAGAAGCAACATCTGAAAAGGGACTTGAAAGAGAACTGGCAAACATTTATAAAAGAATCAAAAAGGAGGCATTGAATGTGTTCAAACAAAAAGGTAGGCCAAAACAAACAATGCATTTAAATTGTTGGACATCAGAATTCAGGCAGAACAAAAAAGGTAGAAGAGCAAATCTGATCTTTTTAAACACTTCAAGAGAAAACAAATAGAATTACATATGTGCTGAGAGTAAAATATATATATAACACTTCCCAAAATCTGACTATTTCACTTCTACATAAAAAGCATGCATTGTCAAATCTATTGAACTATGACTTATTGAAGATTATAGGATGTCAGCAATACAGCAACGGATTCCAGCAGTTTCAACCAAACAAGTGTAATAACGATAGTAAGCAAGTTTCTTTTGAATTCCTCTGATGAAAAGCTGAAATTTTAAGCAGAAATATCAGTTTTTAAACAGCCAGGTCTCGCGTGTCAGTCCCTGTCTCGACATGTCACAACAAAACGACGTAAGCAGAACTATTTCCTCTTAAAGCTCAGCTAGCTGACGCTAACTTGCAAAAACTACCTCTAAACGCTACATTTAGGCAGCATTTACTGCCAGGGGATCTTTGAAAAGAAGCGCAATCTTGCAGACAAAGCTTGGATTTTAAAGTCACTGCAGCATTTTATTTTTTGTCTAAAACTTAAGTGTCAAAAAGCAGCCCATAGAAATGGGCGAGGCTAGCAAGCTAAAGCCTACCGGTCAGACTAGCCGAAGCTGCTGTTTTTTACTCTTTTTTTTCGCTCCGTTTTACTCGGCTATAGCCGAAGGACGTCCCAGACTTACTCAGTTCATACGGCATTGTTGCTGCTGGTCCTAAGCTTCTGGTTAGTCTTTCCAATGAATGAATATAGAGACAGAGACGCTCCTCCGGCTGTATGCCCTGCCCTGCCTAATCACACAAACCCGGAAGGGGCCGCTGCTCTCTGGCTGCCTGGCTATGCCCATATATGGTAAACTCCGATCATACGTTACTGCTTTCAGCCAATAGGGGCGCTGCAGCGATTTGGATCAATTTTACCTAAATATGGTCTTTAAGACTCCAGGGCAACATAACCCATATAATTAACATTGATAAAGTAAAACTATAAAATTATTCTAAATGAGATTTCTGTTTTCTCATTTTAATTGTTAGGGCATGATTGGTAATGGACATGTACTTAACAAAGAAACCTAATGTTCTGAGAATCAAAATTAAAATAAATGAAATATTATTATATAATATTATAATATCGGTCATTGGTCTTAGTTTGGATAATTTGGGTCAAGTACATCTGAGTACCACGAATAACCAAAATGAATAACCTCACTATGCAAATGAGAATACGATACTAACCAATTATGGGGTGAAACACTGAACTACATATTTAAATTATTATGTCATACTGTCATTAGAAAGTAGCACCAGCCCAGAATAGGACTGGTAATCCCCTGACTATTTACAGTAGTAGCCATTCAAAATTTCCCCACTTTCCTTTATGGGCCCTTGGCAGGTCCCCAAAAAAGGTCCCCTTTTTAAACATGAGTCTTTGTACTAAAATATTCTTTCTGTCATGATTTGTGGACTTTAAGATTTAAAGAATAGCGTCATCTCATGGTCAGACTCTGTAATTCAGTGAAAGGTTGGAGTCAGAGTAAAAAAATATGCATGCCCAGGAAAAGGAGGGGGTCAATCCAGTGGCCGGAAGCTGGAGGGGATTTTGCTGCGAGTTGCATGGAAGTGGGCTGACATTCGGCTGGTGTTTGACTGGGAAGGGCCATTTTAAATTGTCTGCTACGGGTTTGCTCCGTAGGGTGGCTGGGCTCTCCCTTAGAGATAGGGTGAGAAGGGTCATCCGGGAGGGACTCGGAGTAGAGCCGCTGCTCCTCCACGTCGAGAGGAGCCAGTTGAGGTGGCTCAGGCATCTGGTTAGGATGCCTCCTGCAAGCCTCCCTGGTGAGGTGTTCCGGGCAAGGCCCCCGGGGAAGACCCAGGACACGCTGGAGAGACTATGTTTCTCGGCTGGCCTGGAAACGCCTTGGGGTTCCTCCTGGGGGGCTAGAAGAAGTGGCTGGGGAGAGGGAAGTCTGGGCCTCCCTTAAGCTGCTGCCGACCCTGGATAAGCGGAGGAAGATGGATGGATGGATGAATGTAGGTTAGGAAATTGCTGAGTGTAAAATGTTGTTTCAGTGATACACTGTACATTTTCAGGACAGTTGCTTTGGCGTTTTCTTCCTAAAAGATAGGATAGGATAATCAACCCTAAAGGACATATAACATAAAGTTTGTCCCGGTCACCAAGGTCAGCAGAAATAAGATTTTGTGTTGCATTTTTATTAAAGTTACCCATTTAAAGTTAAATGCCTGTCTTTGTGTAGTACATTTTCGTGAAAAGACTATTTAAAATTCTTTACATACATACATACATACATATATATATATATATATAGAGAGAGAGAGATAAAAGTCTGTGTGTATAATGTGTGAAAGGAAATATTTTAAATGCAGATATGTATCTGTCTCCTATTTTAATTTTGTAATTCGTTTTTCTGACAATTTTGTTAACATTTTATTCTTCTATGAGTAATTTAACACTACTTCTGTGTTTCAGTTGTGTACTCTAAAATGTTAGAAGTTAGAATCATGTCTGAAATCATTCTACTGGGTAGAATCAGTTTGAAACACAGATAGCCTATTTGTAGGTTCATTATTATTTTTCATTTATCAATTATCTTTTTTTCCCTGTACAATATAAAATCTATCATTTACGTGTAAATTTCATGCTGCACACGAGAAGCAGTTGAAGAGCTCTATCGTGATTCTATCTCTCCTATTTTCAGAGATGTACCATATGCAGCAAATCATACATATTTAATGATGTCAAATATCGTCCTAAAACATGTTGTTCCGTCTATGTCCTCTTGGGGGCAGAGTTACGTCTTGGTCTGTGGCGCTGCAATAGCACCAGAGAAGAAGAAGTCATCCGGCTTCTCCTGGAACTATGGCGGCCGCCTTGAGAGGAACGTTAGTAACATTGGCCAAGGTGAGTGCAGACGCTGCTGACTAAATTACAGGGCTTTTACATCTGTTAGAATGAGTAGCTGAGGTTTATTTCTAACGCAGGTGATAAGTTTGTTTAACTGTTTAAAGTAACGGTCTGAAACGATGACTTGAGCCATGTGTGTCAGAAGTTACTGCTAACCAAGAGACTGAAACAAAAAACAAACAAACAAAAAAACATCAATTAGGATTAAAAAAAAAAAACGAATTCTTGTCTTTTTTTTGGTCGACAGATTAGAACTGAATCTACCTGTGTCTCCAAGTTATCAAAATTATATTAGTGCTTCTGGTAAACTTGGTAAGATGCTGTATATGTCAGTTATCATTTAAGTAGTCTAGTTGTGGGTAAATGGCCTGAGAACATTATTTCTCTGTTTTAATTTGCAATAGTCAAAGGTTTTCAGACTGTATCGGGCTTGTACTTCAAAGGCACTGCATGACCACACCCTGCATCCAGATACCGACCACAGAGCCCTTTTATTCGGATAGCATGTCTTTTATCAATTTCTCTTTAAAGTGGGCAGCATCGCATAAACGACTCAAAGCATCTGATTACTGAGGCTTTCACCTGTTTAACTGTGTTGATCCGAATGACAGCCTGGGTGAAGAAACTATGGCAGCTGGTTTATGCAAAGAAAGCCTCAACAGTTTTTCATCCAGGATATGTGGGATCAGCAAAGATGCTTTTTTTCCCCAACTGACCAAAGACCTGTTTGAGGTGCTGGATGGAGGGGTTGTCATTCCTGTTGATCCTCCTGTGTCTTATGGTTTGGACCTGTCCTGTTTGGTGTCAAACCACTTGGAGTCAAACCACTCATTGATGGAAAAACACAGACCTGACTAAATGAGGCCAGAATAGACGCACACAGCATCTCCTGTGGAAGGTTACTTGCAGGTGTTGATTGTTTATATAGACTCTAAAGGTGCCATCCAGCCTCACCTCCTGCTGTTTATCAGGAGGCTGTCAAACCTCTGGCAGGTTGAAGTGGGTACTCTGAGCTCGGTAAACTTCTGAGGCTGAGCTAAAGTCCACAATAAGGATTCTTGAATATAGCCCTGGATAGAATATCTGGTGCAGGATGAAGTGTGCTCCCAAACTGACTGGATCATCTGCCAACCTATTTGCTCATTATGCTGAGGTAAACAGTAATCTAGAGGCGTCCAAACTTTTTTTTGTCACGTTCACCAAATAAAATCATCTAAAATTATACTGGGATTTGTTTATGTAGTTGTTTTGTGTTTGTTTTTTTCACCTGCTCAACAAAACATTAAGCAGGTAATCAAGTCGAGAATGAAAAGGGATATCTAAAACACTTCTTTTGAGTTTGTTGGGGGGGGGATAGTTCTGTCTACTCAGCAAAAAGAACTGGGTATGTTTTACTCTTACTTTAAACCTTTGCTGTATTTCAACAAGTTTAATAGATTAATTAAAACCAGATTTGTATTTTGCAAACTCTGTATTTGAGTAAAAGTCTTCATAAATATATGTCATGCTTTTTTCTGTTAAATTGAATTGGATACAATGCAAAAAGTCTGAGTATGAATTATGTTACGTTATCATGGATAGAATATTATATCAAATCCCTTTATTGTCCCACAATGGGGAAATGCCGTTGTTTAGAGCAGCAAACAGATTATAGAAAAAAAAAATGGGGTTTTCTCTGTAGTATTCTTTTTAGCACAGTAACATGTTGGGGAGGTGCGGCATAGTTATTTTAAGCGACATGCACCCTAAACTAACTCTTAAAAACTGACACACAATCAGTGGCATATGTAAGGATTTTAATCTCTAGGATGTTTTTATTGTAAAAAATTGATTTTGTTGTTGACATTTTAAGTTTTTAATACTTTAAGATAACTAAGTCTTGGTGATTTAAAAAAATTAGAATTACTTGTAGAATTTTGACTACAACTGTACAACTGTTGGCATTTTTTTTTTACTCTAAAACAGAATATTGTCTGCAGCTGCTAGTTATATAAAACGGTAAATTCATATGTATGCAAACTGCTCAATTTTGCATTTATTCTGTAATCATACGTAATTTATAGTCAGTATTGTCTGCTGTTTCTCAACAATGTCTGTCATGTAAGAACTTCATATTTCTAAAGTAGAATACAGAAAGATTCTTGGAGTAAGGGTCTGCTTTAAACACACTTTGTTTCACCTTGGAAGATCCCAGGGTTTGTTTGTTTTTTGACAATGTTCTGAAATTTGAAACTCTGATAGAAGAAAATGAAAACAACTTGTGATTTTTCTGCTTTAACTTTGAGCTTGTTGACATTTCTCAGGGCTTGGGAGGTGTCCGCCTGCATCAGCTGGCCACTCGACCACTAAGTGTCTCAGCAAGTCTTTGTGGAGCTGAAACCCCACTAGCCCGTGCTGATGGTATCTTCAAAGTCACCATGGTTCCAGGGGATGGAGTAGGACCTGAGCTGATGACCTCGGTCAAGGATGTCTTTAAGGTGCTTTTAGCGAGTCATGATCCCTTCTCTCCTGGTTGCATACAATATGAGATCAAAGCCATGATGAATGATTTATTTATTACATCATTATATTTAATTTAAGGCAGGTGACATCCCTGTTGAATTTGAAGAGTTCCATCTCAGTGAAGTCCAGAACATGGCCAATGAGGAGAAATTAGAGGAAGTGTTGACCTCAATGAAAAACAACAGAGTGGCAATTAAAGGTACGGTCACTTTAATATGGGATCCAAAATGTGTCCTTAAAAAGAGGTTTCTAATTTCTGCTGAAGTATGGGTTTTGATTAGAATATATTTTATATCTGGATAAGTACAGAGATGTTTTGCTTGGTTTTGTTTCCTGCTTTTGTTTAAAAGCTCCATTTAAATGACATGTCATTGTTTTAATTGGGAAGTGGAACAGAAATATAAATCGTTTAAAGTCTGAGGGGATCTTTATATAGTGCCTCCTACCCAAAGGTTTGCTAATTTAAATTCTTTCAAACCTGCAAGTATTTTCACCAGAGTCTGATGCGCTCAGATATCTTCATTCCTGTCGTCTGTAATCCAGCTGCAGGCCCAGTTAAGTGTAGAATAATCAGGTTTTTCACTGTTAAAACAAAAGCTGTTCTTATGTGGTTCCCCAGCTTAAGTTTAATTTTCTTCCTCTCCTTAAAAAAAACCCTTTTATATATTTGAGATATAGTCGTTACTAATTTTTGTGATGACCAATTGTATTTCCAGTAGCTGGTTTTGAGTTCAATCAGTTTTCCTCACATATTTAGAATGGAAACATATTTATGAAATATTTGTAAATAATAGTTTTTTTTTGAAGGGAGATGTTTACAATTGTGCAACTTTTTTATGTGGGAGAGGATGCAGCAAATGCAAAATATAATTTCAGTGGTTAGAAATGTCAATATTTTTGTCATCCCTCCATCTGAGTTCACACCTTTAAATAAATATCGACTAACTTCATAATTTAACATAAGCAATTATCCTTTGTAAATATATACCTATATATTTGGTCCACTAGGAAAGATTCACACACCAATGGAGTACAAAGGAGAGTTGGCATCTTTTGAAATGAAACTAAGGTAATTAAAGGAAAGCTAAAAAAACAACAAATAACTGCTAGTGCTATGTTGGAATTTAGCTATTTAATTTTTTCAAATATATTTTCCCAGGCGTAAACTGGACCTGTTTGCTAATGTGGTCCATGTGAACAGCCTGCCGGGCTACAGCACTCGCCACAACAACCTGGACCTCGTCATCATTCGTGAGCAGACTGAGGGGGAGTACAGCTCCCTGGAGCATGAGGTAAACGCCTCCCATCAGGACTTGTGCATTTAAAATTCACTGCCCTTTTTTTTGCTTTTAGTCCTATTTTCTCTCTATCCTATTAAAATCATCCCTGTGGAACTGCTCATAGAGTGTTCCAGGTGTGATCGAATGTTTGAAGATCATCACCAGGGAGAAGTCACGGCGCATCGCTAAGTTTGCCTTCGACTACGCCACTAAGAAGGGTCGAAACAAGGTCACAGCAGTTCACAAAGCAAATATCATGTGAGGGTATTTCTAGGACATAAATGTTAGAATTTGAGGAATTGTGATCATAATTTGTATGACGATGATGCTGATGCCCATCCTTATCTTTCCAGGAAATTGGGGGATGGCTTATTTCTGCAGAGCTGTGCGGAGGTGGCAGAGCTGTACCCTAAAATCAAATATGAGACCATAATCATTGATAACTGCTGCATGCAGGTATTTAAAGCTTTTAGATTTCACCCTACTGTATTCAATATGAGTTTGTTTCTACCTCCTCAAATTATTGCAGTACTGCTGTTGCTTATTTCAGTGAAAGTAAAATGATCGGTCTTTACAGTTGTTCTTTTTTTACTCTTTCTTTCTTCTTTTTCTTTCTGTTTCATATTTAATCCACTAATTTCTTGTATTTTACTCCAGCTGGTCCAAAACCCTTACCAGTTTGACGTCCTGGTCATGCCCAACCTTTATGGGAATATCATTGATAACCTGGCAGCAGGTCTGGTTGGCGGAGCCGGAGTCGTTCCAGGGGAAAGCTACAGTGCAGAATACGCTGTTTTTGAAACGGTGAGTTTAATGAATCTGATCCTTTGTTTGATGCATCTCAGTTTCAAAGCTTGGCCAGTCCTTCATAATATGAACACAGTACAAGGGAAAACCAAACATTTGATTTAAACTTTACAATGCATCTGTGTCACTAGGTGAAATAAAAGTGAGGAGAACCATGACAGGTAATGTGTAGGAAGCAGTTGTTAGGTCATTTAAAAAAAAAAAAAAAAATTGCATGTGTGTAGTAGTGAATCATTACAAAATGAAATGATACCCTCTATGTTATATAAACTTCAAGTCTCTGATCGTTATTCTTTAAATGTTGGACAGGGGTTGCCTTATGGCATCTCTAAACTAAACGAATAAATGTAAATGTGCCCAAAAACAGAAAAAAGTAAAAACTGCAGAAGATGACAGTTGAGGACGGAGTCTGCTACTGTAAATTAAGCATTTTATCTTTTCTTGCGCCACGTGATCTAAAAGGGTCATGAGGGGAGGTCATGGCCTAGTGGTTAGAGCAGTGCACTTGTGCTGAGAAAGGTGCAAGTACCCGGTTCGATCCCCACAGCCGGCTCTGGCTCTCTGAGCAAAACCCACACTGCTCCTTGGGCACCGGACAATGGCAGCCCACTGCTCCCCAGGGGGATGGGTTAAATGCAAAGAGTGAATTTCCCCATTGTGGCACAATAAAGTTTTATTTTACTCAACTCTTTGAATTGGTGTCAATCACGCATGTGTTTGGTTATTAGACTCGAAGCCAGGATTTATGAAAAAAGTAAAAAAAAGACATCACAGACTTCTTTAAAAGTCAAAGTATAATGTATAATGCTACGTTCAGACCGCGACCGATGGAGCAGTAAAAAGGCAGTTGCTGTTTCCTTTTTGATGCTTGTACACATTAAGGTCCAACGCACCTCAAATGCATCTTTGACGCTCCTGAAGGGCTTCCAATAAAGTGTGTACTTCTGCTGCTCCTGTGTTCAATAGCAGAGGGAGGCTTTGATATATTTGCTGTTATAAGTTGGCAAAAAGTAATTTTAATATGTTTTTAAGTGCGACCTTTCAGTTCACCTGAAAACTTCATCTCTAAATTCAGTTCATCAAGATTACGATCCTGCCTTCAAATATTATTTAGCTGTGGACCAGCACAAAACCCCCATACATTGGTAGTGCGCTGTCACTAGAAAACACCTCAACAGCTGCTTCTATCCTGGTCCCTTCTTGGTTGTTTTCCACTACTGTTCCTGGCAGCTGAAAGGAGATGTTAGCCGTTTTTATGTACGTAATCCAAACTGCAGGCCCCAGAATAATAAAAGCAAACATATTTTTCAGAACATATTAAGTTAATTTAGGCATCAATAAACTTTTAGGGGAGTGATAATAGAGATCTGCATCAGCATCACTGTGTCTGTCTCCCTTCCAGCTCCCAGATCAGCTTCTCTGATTGGTTGATGCGGCACGTCAAGCAGCAAAAGTTTAATTTTGCTGCGCCTTCATGCGCGTAAACAATTCACTTTGCATGTAAAGCAGCTGCTTCTAATTCTTCAGCATGTGTAATGTAAGTTACATTCAAAGAACTGTGTAACACCCCTACCAAAACACATTCACTGGCCCCATAAAGCAGCAGATCCACTTCAGGATCCTCTGCCGCATTTTAAAGTTTTCATTAACCTTGTAAAGTAAACTGGTTTTATTAAAAGTGCTGATAAATAAAATGTATTACTGTTATATAGTATTATCATCAAAATGCAAAAAACTACAATATATGAATGTGATTTTATATATCAAAGCTCATAATAACTAAAACAGTGTTTTTAATCTACATTGATTGCTGTTCCCCAACAAGAAAGATGTTTAAAACAAAGGTGTTTAACTTATATATAGTAGTTATATAAAAAAAAGTACCTTACCTCCCTCCACACACACACACTTCTGAAATCTAAATTTCGTCTATGTTTGCATCAAATACAAAGGATAATAGTGAATTTGCTTAATTACTTTTATTTTTCTTCAAGCATTTTGATTCCAAAGACAAAAAACTGGAGATATGATGAGAGAAAAAGCATATTGTAAATGAAAATCTCTCTAAATGATAGGCTATTAATATGTCCATATACACTGTGTTAAATCTGACTTGATAAAGGTGTATCCTTCTGTGATAGGCCCTCAACATTTTATGAGAAAAATGGTCATGAATGTATAGTACATTTTTTCTCATTGTTTGGGTTTTAATGGATAAAGTGCATTAAACAGCCTAAAGTTCACTTCTTTTTGTAGAGGACAGAACGTGTCATTGTGGTAAAAGTTTGAAACATCTGAGTTTAGTAGGAAAGGATCTGATTGTCTTAATGAAAGGGACATTTTTAAGTGTCAGTGTTGTTTGGATTAAGGCAGAGGAAACAGAGGAAAACGTTTTTAGAGCTAAATGCTTCACAGGTTTCTTTATTTCCTGCCTGTTTTCTTTCAGGGAGCTCGACACCCCTTTGCACAAGCAGTGGGAAGAAACATTGCCAACCCCACAGCAATGCTCCTCAGTGCTGCAAACATGCTGAAACACCTAAAGTGAGACTTTTAATCTGTTTAAGAACAATTCCCTTTGAGAGATAACACTGGTTGCCTTTTAACTGACATCGTATTTTTCTTCAGCCTGGAGTACCACTCTCAAATGATATCAGAAGCTGTCAAGAGGGTCATCAAACAAGGAAAGGTAACAGTCTTTTATATTGAGTGTGAAGTTTGAATGTTTTATGCTTATTAATAGATGCGTTGTCACTGAAAATGCTAACACCCTGAACACAGGGCACTTGTCTGCATCCTGGGAGAGTAATAACACTGGGAGGTACAGATGAATGTGGATGCCTGCACATCCATACCGATGTTCTTTAAATAACATGCTTACTATGCTCTTATTTGCAGATCAGTAACTGAAAACGTTCAGCCAAACATGCAGACGCTGCATAAAATGCTGCTTCTTATAAAATCAAATAATTTTTTTTTTTTACCAACGCTAAACATAAAGACTTAGTTTTTAAGTCTTTATGTGGCTGCATATGAAGGGTAATGTTAGCATTTCTTGGTCTCAAAATGAGGAAACCTTCCTAACAACAAGTATTGGAGAGCCTTTGATGTATTGGCGTGTGTCCTAGGCTTGTGGCATTTCTGTGCTGCTTAGTTTTTAATATTGTTTTTAATATAGCATGTATAGTTTTGTCCTCTTAACTAGTTTGTTTTTGTAAATAACCTTTTTACACTGTGTTCTTGTTAAAATAGCCTCTTTCAAGTCACACATTCCATTGGTCATCTATAGGTTACTGGTAGATAGTATAGCTACCAGTAGCCATTATAACTTAAAATCCAGTAAAACAAAAGAGATGTCTGGGGACAAACTCTTTAAATAACACTTCATAATTTATATTTATTAAATAACCATGAGACATGACAACAGATTTTGATAGAATTTTTACTCGGATTTTGATATTTTTACTCAGGGTTACAGAAGGCAGCTGATTACTAACCGTGCTCTCTTCTCGTGAAAGATCACAAATCACAATTAAAGAAGAATTTTATAGAACTCCAGCATGCTACATCTTTACATCATACATGTTAGCAGATGAAGAGACCTCTTGCTCCAGTCTCATCAAATGATTACAGTGTTTCAGATACAAAGGACTCGCTGTCAAAAATTATCCACTCTGTCCGTGCACCCATTTCATTCTCCAATCTCTGCTATGCACAATTTGTAATGAGCATGATAACTACATATCTGGACAGAGAACCTGTCCTAATAAGATAAGCTACCTGGCAAAACATTGGTTCTGACACACAACAGGCAGGTAAAATTAGGGATTAACAGTATCACACATCATTAATAATATTCTTGACTGTGCAATGGGGGTGGGAACTATGATGTGAAAGGGTAAAATGACTCAAAGACAACAATTAAATTGGATGAATTCGACCTGCACCAAATGGATCCCTACCAACTCCAGTCTGCTGTTTGTAGTCAGATATTTTTTAAAGCATTACAGCCTATAAAAAGCTGCCTGGAAGTCATGTTTTCTCCTCTCCACTTCTTCTCCTTCTGTCCCCTTCTCTCCCTCTACCCTGCTGACGTGTTTGTGTTGTTTGTACACATGTTTTGTGCACATCCCAGGTTCGAACACGAGACCTTGGAGGGTACTGCACCACTGGCGACTTTGTGCATGCAGTTGTGGAGAACCTGCGTCACCGACCCGCTCAATAAGACCCCCCCTTCCACACTCCTCACTCATGTTGCCCCAGATGTGGACCATGATCCTAACATGACCCGAGGACATGTTAAGACTGAACCCCCCCACTCCTCTCCATGTTGTATCCCATATGTGTTTCGCTGCTTTGACATTAGTGGCCTCCAATGTTTCTACTTCATGTATTTGTGATTGAGGTGGTGTAAAAGCAGTGATTTGTGACCCATTTTGTGAAAGAAAATACACAGTTGCAGCTTTCCATCCCACATTTTGGTCCTCTGTTTTCTCTCCCTGCTTACTGTCCGTTTACCTCCATAGTCACCGGCTCTTTTTTGTCTTCATTGGATCATCAAGATTAGCAATTCTGGGTTAAACTAATGTGTGAAATTATGTTAAAAAAAAATCCAAATGGGACCTAAATGCTACTTTGCAGTCTTATATATTTTAAATCTCAGCTATTTAATCGTTTCATAACTAGACATAAATGAGATCACTATATGAATTCTTTTTTTTTTTTGTTCTTTTCTTTTAAGTATTTAAATGCCTGGGAAAGTTCTAGATTAAATATTTAGTTTTTCCACCCCTGATGTAGATAAATATTTTGATTTTAGGAATTAATTCAAATCTATGAGGGAAAGAATTGGTTTCAAATTATAACCTAATTTAAACGTTTTAGTATTTGGTTTATTTGAGTTTCAACAGCAGAAATGCTAAATTGACGTTCAGAAAAAAAAAAAAATCCATAGAAATGAATACCAAGAGCTTTTTCAGAGCTTTTGACTTCTAATCGACTTTAAAGGAGATTTTTTAAACTGGGCTTTTGGTTCACAAACTGATCTTAATCAAATCATTAAAGAAAGAAGCCTGACATGGCAGGAGTCTAAAAAAATAAAAAATCTGCTTGGATGCTAACAAAAGAATGAGTCAAACTTTATAGTTATTTATTGTGATTTTTTTCCTGATTTGTCCAATTTATCATAAAACATATCCTACTTAAATATTTTATAGCTGGGTGTGCTATAAAATGTGTAGTCTGCGGTTTAGATGGAAATTATGGTGACTTCTGTTCTAACAGTTCAACATTATGGGGAATGTATGTGGAGGGGATTTCTTTCAGTGCTTTTCTCTAATTGTAATCAATATTGTAGATTGGAAAGGCGGAATTAAATCAAAGCTCAGTTATTTATTAGGCATAAATATCACACTGTAAAGCAACAACCAAATAAAGTATTTAAAAGCAGAAAATGTTCCTGTTGATCTATTAAAAAACTGTTTCCTCAGTTTTAACTGTTGTTACTGATAAGATTGTTTTCAGATTTCCTGCCACATGAAACGGATAGATTTTTATTAAACAAAATTCTAAATTGATTCTTATCAAGGCTTTTAAAGCTTCGCAATTCTGCAAAAAAATTTTTTTTTTTTTTTTTTACACCATGGCACTGCAGTTCATATAGAAATTAAACAGGCATTATAGAATACTTTTATCACAATCCTTAGTTTTGCATCTCATTGTGTATGTCTCCTTTTTTCATTTTATTTTGTCAGCATTTATCAACCCCAGCACAGGAGGCGTGGAGAAAATGACACCACCATGGAAACACACTTGTTTACTTAAAAGGAAAATTAGAGAAGCAGTTAAACTGAACACTTATGTTTTTGGACAATGGAAGCCAAAGTGTCGGACTTTCAAAGACATCAAGCTGGTAGCTTGATGTCTTTAACCCTTTTGCTGCAGAGCAGCAATGTAAAGAAAGGGTCAATAATCATCTAAATTAGTAAAAGTACTTAAAATACATCAACCTGTTTTACAGCTTTGTCAGCTACCTACATCTCCAGATCAAGAAAATACAGAAGTGCTGTTTTCCTCACAGCAATGTTACTTGCCCTGCTAAGCTTGTTCTCCGTGTCCTTTAATTAAAGGCTCTTTAATATGCAGGCAGTGATGCTGTATGTGGACATGTGCTGCAGCAGCTGTGCATATGGTAACACGCTGTCCTTATGTTTGCAACAGGTGCGCACCGGAGACCTGGGGGGCTATGCGACAAGTGATGAGTTCACCCGGGCTGTCATTGCTAACCTGCCAGTCTGAGCTTTCTTAAAGCAGACCTGTCAGCTGCTGTGACACACATCCTTTATTATTTTTTTTGGTCATGGTGACCATGCACTGTTTCCCCAATGTATTACATAACCTCAAAACGAGGATGATCTGCAGCAATGATTTTAAAAATATGGTTTGTTATCAACATAAGACTTGTGAAGGCTTATACACCGCACCTTTGCTTCTTGATTGTGTAAAACTGTAATGGCTTCGCTTCTGTTCATTAAGCAGCAGAAAAAAAAACACGGATGTGTACTTCATATTATTTATTACATTTTTTTTTATTGCTTTATCTATGAAAAGATGCGAATAAAATATGAGATATAACAACTACAGTGTGAAGCACCTGCATGTCTCTTCGTGAAGTGCTGATGCAGTATTCATTGGTATTAAAACTTAATCAGCTGTGGGTGGTTTAGGCAGCATGTGTTACCTTAGAGCAGGAGCAACAAGAACTTACTTATTCCTTGTGTCCAGGCAGATCAGGTGGAAAAGGGGAAATCTGGCATGTATGAGTCATCTGAGAGTTTGTTAGTCACATGTGAGCTTTGGGTTGTGTTACAGCATCTCTTCAGGATTGACTAGATTTATTACTTAGTAACAGTCGGAGAAATTCACAGGGCTTCCAATTATTGATCAGCAATATTTTTGATGTGTAAACTATTTAAACCTTCCAACTACAAAAAAATAACTCTTATTTTCGATTTAAGACTTTAAATTAAAAGCTTTTAAAGCAAAAAAAAAAAAAACTCTTCAAGAGCTCTACTTTAATTTGCAATATTTGATCAGTGAAGAATAAAAAGAAGAACACTGCAGGACTCTGAATCATAGCTGTAGATTAGATGCATTAGAGGCACCAGTTAGGTTTCCCTTTATTGGAAGGGATCATTAAGGGTTTGGCCAGTTTAATGTAAATCCATCCAACAGATGGCATGCTGCAGGAGAAAGTTGTATAGCACTTTCAGAATTTGAGCTGTTTTGGTCAAATTGGTAATAACCAACACTGATACCATGAGTGGCCTTTGGGTTGGGAGTCAGTACTGCAACCAGGTCTCAACTCCCACTTTCTAGAGGTATTCTCAGATTAATCCCAGAGGAAGTATAATCATCTTGAATCCTAAAGAATTGAGAAATTGGTTTCCCACCTTTTGTCTAATCCTTTGTTGAAATCTCTTTTATGCACTGGGATCACCTCCAGTGATATCAAGTTATTCGGCAAGGGAAATGCTGACACACATCCTCATACTGCCTCCGCACTGGAAAAACAATCTAGAAATAAGTACAAATTTCTTAAATTAAGTATATTTAACCTTAATTTGAGTAGTTAAATGACGTAGTCTGCCAATGGAATATATTGTATTTTTACTCTTAAAATAAGATAATTAGATGACGTGCACTTGAACTAAGACAATGCAATGGTTTTTTTTTTTTTTTAAATATAAATTTTCATCTTCCATTGGAAAAATGTCTCTTTTACCTCTTCAATCCGAGAACATATGCACTTACCGTATTTTAAGAAAAAATGCACTTATCTAGATTTCGATTTTTTTTTCTAGTTCAAGAAAGGCTGTTTGGGTTTGGAAGAGAGGATTTTGCACCCACAAAAAGGTTTTCCTTTCTAAATGTTAGGGAGCAAATAAAATGAATACAGTAGAATATTAATTTCCTGCAAGCTTTGTTACATAAAAAGTAATAAGTAACACAAGAAGTTTATAAGAACCGATGTCACAAGTGAAATTCTTCATTGTGAGATCAATAAAGTTCTACCTAATCTAATATATTGGGAAAATGAGACCTTTTTTTGTTCCAATATCATGCTCTACAGATATATTACCTGGTGAACACAATGAACACAATAAAAAATATTTTTAATACATTTTTAATAATTGTAGATAGCTGGTGAACTACTTCACTTATGAAAGAAAAATGTAACAACTTAAATACGTTTTTTTTCAGTAATTAAGATTACATATATCCTATCCACAATACAAAGTGCTAAGATGTTAATTTCTAAAGTGATTTGTTGAAATAAATACAGAAAAAAAAAAACTGCTGGATGTGCAATAAATGTGAAATCTGAGCGCTGCAGTGTGCTGCATGCAACTACAAGGCCTGCCAGCAGGGGGTGCTGTCTGCTATGAAGAAACAGTGAAGCGGAGTCAGGGCCTGGCATGGGAATTTTTTTTTTTTCTCTCCTTCCCATTCTTCCTATGCAGACAGACACACAACATGGCGGACTAGAATAGTCGGCCGACGCGCCCGGATACAGCGGATAAACTGCGGAGGTTTCACCATCCAAGGAGCAGAACAAAGGACTCTCCATCCCGGACAACACTTTGGGAGGATTCGCTGTATTTTTCAGGAGGAGCCATCTTTATCTGGATCTAGGAGGAAAAAAAACTGACTGCGAAGTGTTGGCAGTGTGTCCCAGGTTGCGTTTCCCTCCCACCCCCCAACCCCGCTTACACTCCTCTCTGTTCCCGGGGTGTGGAGACAGGGGCCGGGTTGGAAAACGTGGAGGAGAAGGAGCAGATAAACTCCCCTTGTCTGCTGGCCATTTTTTTCCTCCCTAGAAAGGGTTCCCCTCTGGGCGCCGCAGGAGTTGTGGTGAGTTTACTTGTTTTTGTCGGGCAAAAAAAAAAAAAAAAAAGAAAAGCCGAATCCCCACTTGTTACAATGTCGCTGCGCGCGAGCCTGTTTCCTCACCCACCAACAAGCACTTTGTTTCACCTTTCAGCCACAAATAAACCCCCCTGCGTGTCAATGGATAGGAACAAGAAGTGGGACAGAGTTAAATACTTTTAAACTGTAACATTCAGAAGTAGCTCGGAGGCAGGGAGGGTTTCTTCTTTTTCTTTTTTCTAAGCGAAGGGGGGCTCCGTGAAGGAAGGGGTAAACTAAGTGCGACAGGGTCATTAAAAGAGGCAGGAGAGGAGGGGGTCCCTGGAAACTACGATGTGTTGATCAATGCTTTGTCATTATTACACGTTTAGCAACAGGGGGGGAGCGTGGGTCCGTGGCAGGGTCCGTGGGTGGAGGAGTAGGGTGGCCTCATCGTGGATTAGGTCGTAAGTAACATTAAAATGTGTTCCCCATCAAATCTTCCCCCTCCTCCTTACAGCCTCTCCCAAAGTTTTAGTAATGATTAATATACTGCTCTGGTTCAGACAAATGGGTGTAACCAGGCAAATCATATCACTTTAAATAAAAAAGGTATTAAATTTAGGTAGCCTAAGTAAAAGTTTTTTTCGTCATTAAGGTGACAAGAATATTATTATACATGATAAAGTATGGATTGGAAGAAAAAAAAAAATCTTGTAAGTAAAGTAAGGAGTCCCCCTTTTACTCTGCTTTCCTTTTATAAAGTCATCCACTTACAGATTCTCTCCAGCTGTAAGAATATGTCTGGACAACTTATAAAGTTACAGCAAAGCTGGTCAGAGCGAATGCAGCTGAACAGAAACCGACATTTGAGGCTGTGAAAGGATTGGACATCAGGCTGGGACAGGACATGAGAGCAGAGCCAGGGCTCCAGTCAAATGCTTTAAATCAGGGGTCTTTTTATTGTTTTCCAGGCCAAGGGCCCCCAAACTGATGGCGAGATGTAGCGGGGACCCCCTAACTATATATATTGTGTGAAATTGTGTTATATCTAACTGGTCCTATAGTCACTCTATTACTGAGGGAGTAATGTAACTAAAGTAATTTCTCCCTGAGATTATTAAAAGTATTTCTGGTTCTGATTGCTGGTTGATGGGACAGGTGTTGTGAATGAAACGGTGCCCAGCTTGAAAGAGCTCCTGTGTGTCGCTTATTGTGTGCATTGATCACTGAAAGACATTCTGCCTCCATTTATCTGTTTACTAAAGTGTGTTGAATTCACGTTAATGTGTATTTTAAGACATTTCAATTAGTGCAAAAAAGGGGGCATATTAAAAATAAATTTGTAATCAACCAAAACTTTCACAACCCCCATGCAGTATCTCTGCAGACCCCTCAGGGTTTGTGGACCCCCTGTTGAAGACCTCTGCTTTAGATCACTGAATCACTGTAGATCCATGTGGTGCAATAGTTTCACTCCAGATCTAAATCTGTGGCAGGATTGAACAAGAACTTCTTTTTTTTTTTTTTTTTTATGAGCAGAGGTATAAATGACATGCAGCTGTAATCACTGCGGCTCTTCTGTTTTCAGATTATCAGGCAAAACTTTTAAAACTGGTATTTCGTTTACGCTGCTAAATTATACACTACTTTTGGTGCTGATCTACCATAGGAAATCTCAGTGAAATAAATGGAAGTGGTTGTTGTGACATGACTTGATGAGTAGAGCTCAAGGCGATCCTGCTGAAATTCATAGCAGGATGGTGCTTCACTATCAGGAGGAATCGCTGAGCTGTCGCTGAATCTGCTGCCTGGAGCTCAGCGCCTAACATCTGGTTCAATTCAGCTCATTTCTCCCATTCCTCTGCTTGTCCACACCATCTCCATGTAGGCCTTGTTATAATGTGGTCTCCGAGTCCAGAGGTGCACCGTCTCCAATCCCTGCGATGCTCCACTTTTTTTTTTTCAGAAGGATTGACCTCTGCTCGTCAGGTCTGAACATGTTTCACCGCTTTTCCAAAGGAGCTGTTGCACCATCTCTGCTTGTCAAGCAGCACCATGTCATCAACACTGAATTGCAGAAGAGGGGAGAAAAAAAAAGTGCCTTGCCCATATGACAGAGGGAAACAGGGCTGTCATCATCTACTCAGCATCTCCTCCAATCTATTTTAAGAAATCAGAGTTATTTCCGACTTGGGAAGCTGAAAGTGGGCTGACTGATATTCACATCACACTTTATTGTCCTAGTTTCTTAAAATAAGAATAGCTTGTAAATTTCCTCTTGGGAATTCTGCGGGATATATATCAGCGTGGAGATTGCTGGTGATGTTGTGAAATTTCACAATTTCAGCTCTGTGGCACATTATAATGAGCTGGCGGTTTGGGTGGGGCGAGAGAGATATTTTCTTTTCCACCTTTAGGCCAACAAGTTTTTTTTTTAAGTGTGTAGGAGTGCTGTGACTTAGGTGTTAACACAGAGGAAATGAGCATGTGTTCTTATTTATAGTGATTCATCCACAGAAAAGAGTATCTCATTAAGATTGAAGGATTTTATCCAGGATTTTCAGCTCTGCCCACAAGCTTTATTTTGTAAATACAAAAAAAGATCCCTGCTGTACATCCTTTTTGATATGAGCAGAATTTCATAATTATTTCTGTTTAACAATAAAAAAAATCAGCCTTTTAACCCTTTGACTTTTGTTGAATAATTATATATTGACAACATGAAAAAAAAGGGGAGGAAATAGTTATTAATCATCACCTCTAAAAGCAACCTGGAGCTGCATAAATCTTTAAACCACTTGCAGACCATCCTTTTTGTCTGTTATATTTTTTATCTTTTGAGGTGAAGTGAGGCGTAATTGTAAATATTTATATCTGCCTATGGCATCAGTCGGACTGCCTTTTCAAATGTACTCAAAGTGAAAAAGCGCTGTAGGGGACCTTCCTTTTTTGCGCCGTGGAGGCATTTTTCTGAATTTGAGCCTCTGATGCTTGTCTGTCTGATTCGTTCATTGCTTATCTTTCAGAGGAAAGGGAGGAGATGTGTGCTGTGGGATGGTCATGTCTGACATCAGAGCTGTCACTTTAGCTGATTGGCCTTTTTATACCAAACCTTACTGACTGCAGCAAGGATGTGTTCAATGTAAAGGAGCCTTTTGTTCTTTTCTCTGTTATAAGGCTTTTTGCATTTACTTCTTATATCTAAAACAAAATATTTTCTAATAACATTTCCTCCTTTTTTTTTTTTCTAAATCAGTAGTTAACTTTCTGACCAAAATAATCTATGTTTTATTAAAGGGGAACACCGTTTTTTTTTTTTTACATTGGGCCCTTGATTTTACGTTATTACATCATGTTCTAATTACCCGTATAAGCTTTGTGTCATTTGGAGCTGTTCTGAAGATATTCGGTGTTGTTATAACCAAGTAATGTCTTCCTTTGGGCAACGACTTGAAGGCAGAAACTAAATTGTTCATAATTTATTCTTTATAGTATGCCAGCATTCATAACATGTAGGCGAATCACTGTCCCCCAGACATCCGTGGTTATTATTATATATATTTTATATTTATATTTTTTTTTTAAACAAAGAAGAGTGTGTATGACGTCATCAGGTTTCAAACGCAAAAGTGTGCCCAGAATTCATATGTCTAAGAAAACAACACCTTCCTCAGTCCTTTTACAGAGGCAATATGTAGCTTTCCTGTCCTTTAAAAACATCTCAAAAGAGTCATTGTTTATAAAAGCAGAATAGCTAAAACAAAATAAGAAGACTTGATTCTGCTAAAGACTGAAATGCATCTTAAATGCATATTAAATACAAAGTATACTATAAGCATATGTGTTTTAATGATTTACTTTGATAATCAGGCTTTCTATAAAGGTGTGACAGACACACAATTGGACACTGGAGGAGGCAGGAAGCGGCATGCTCAAGTGTAAACGGTGGACAAAACGAGCATGACAGACTGTGTGACTCCTTTTTTTGTATTTATAATTTCATGCTCGCGCCATGATTTGGAGTCGCAGGTTTCAATTGTCTCTTCGTTCTCACTCCACTCTGCCAAACAATAGTATGTACAAGCCAATTGCTCCATGATGCTTCTTTCATTTGCTAGAGTTGGTCTCCTTTAAAGTTTATGTTCAAATCTGTGATTACAAAACTAACAAAACCTAAAGCATAAATGGTTAAAGCAGCCAGTTATGATTGATTTGGCTCTGAATGCTAAACAGCCATACAAACTATGCTCAACATGCTGATATGTGTAGCATCCATATTTCTTTTCTGGGTTTTCTTTTTCACTCTTTACAATGTTGCTAACAGAGAGACTCTTGGCTGAAGGTTTTCAGTCCCTCCGTGTTCTTCTCAGGAGAATAAGTCACATGTCAAGTTATCAAGGAGTCATATTAAAAACGAGAGGAAATGTGCAGCAAAGGTTGGTGGAACAAATTATATAATACTGTCTAGAATGGCAAAAACCATTACATCCGTAGGAGCACCTTTAATGACCTAATGTTCATATACTTTCAGATATTTTGCTGTGCTCAAAGGCTGCTGAGTATACAGAAGTGTTTTTAAGTGTAAAATCTATGGCTTTGTTCTGTCTTCAGCTGTTAAGCTATGAAATGACTCAAATCACTTTTAAGTACAAAAGAAATCCCGATCAGTTTATCCATGCTCAATAACAATAAGCGCTGCTTATTTACTAAAGATTAATGGTGTTCTATGGGGTCAGAAAGGGGTCAAAATGTTTGTAAACTTTTAAATCTAAACTGAAAAATAGCAGTTGAAATTTAATGTCAAATTTTTACCTTATAATAAGAGATACTAAAAAAGCAAACTTAAAATAACAAGAATTTAATCTAAATTCAGTTTAGTATTTTAATTACACTTTTTGTTTTAATTTTCTTTTTGCAGTTTTAGGTTTTTATATTTTCAGATTCAGATCAATTTCTTACAGTTTCTATTTTTTTCTTTAGTTTTTTTTTCTCACTTTTTTCGG